TGCTATTTCCCTTTACTATACTTACAGGACAGCATTTATAGTTGCAGACTGCATTAGTTACATTTCTCATTGCGGTTACAAAATGCTTGGCAACAGACAAGCAGACAAAATTGTAAATTTTTGTCTGCTGGGCCATCTCAGTGGCTCTTACTGACTGGAGAGTAGACTGAGTGGGTTAGAAGACTTTGGGAGAGTAGGAATGAGCCATTGCAATGAGGCAGGAAAGATTTGATTTGTGAAATACGTAATATGAAAAATGTATCCTTCTTTGTATAAATTAACACAGTAGGAAAATATTTTGTCGAATCCCTGTTCTCCAACTCTGAAAATGTGGACATTTTACTATATTTAGTCTGAGTGTGCAACATAGTAACATAGGTGTTGAAGAGGCGCTTCTTAGTTGGTAGATTTGAATTGTTACATGAAGGGGATTAAAAAACGGCTTACCCTTCCGAAATAAGATCGTCTCATTTAGCTTTTGGGGCCCGTAGGCAGTGACACAGCTGGGACCTGGTCCAGCTGGCAGTTTTAGGTGTACGAGGATCAAGCCACGTGACAGCAGTGCGTAGGACTGCTGTAACAGGAATGCCTGCCTCCCTTGTCTCATGCCCTGCCAACACTAGTCATGCCTACTTGTTCCAGAACAAAGAGCTAGCCTCCAGCTCCTTGTGTGAGTGTGTTGAGGATAAGCTTGGTTCCAGCAGAGTAGAACTGGATCCTCTATTATTAGTTAACTCCTGAAGTCTGGAAAAATTCAAGCATGTTTTTTGAGGAAATGTAAGTTTTCAGAGTAGCAGGGAGGTCCTTGTCCAAAGTGAATTGTTCTCAGTAGAGATGATAAAGTCTAATGTGGACCAGGTTTGGATTAAATTCCTCAATGTTACCCATCTGTATCAACTCTTGAGAAAAGGAATGACTCTCCCTGACCCCAATCCCCTCAAACATAAAATTGAAGTCCATTCCATTCAGTCACTCAGTTATATAAAAGTCACTTATTAAGCATGTTCTGGGTATTGGAGAAGGCAGCTCATGGGAAGGGTTGGAAGGAAGAAAGGGAAGAGGGAAATGATGTAGTGTTTCAATTACAAAAAAAAGTAAAGTAAAAACAAATACAATGGTAACTAAATTGGCATGGTCTCCTCTGACAGAGGATTTACCATCTCAAGGATAGCAATAATAATTCACAGAATTATTTTAATAATAAATAGTCTTGAGTGTAATGAATACTTTGGACGGTTTTCCCTAATGATAACTTTCACGAGAAAAAAGACAATGAATGGCTTTCCTCAAAGTCAGTGTAGTGTGGTCGCCTTGTTCATCTTAGCATGGTGTTTCCAATGGGGAAAGATTAACTCTAGGCCCAAGCAGCTTGTGAACAGCCGTAGATCCTGGGGGGCAGGAATACACATCTCACAAGAAAGAGCAGTGAAGCAAGGAGCAGAGGCAGATGATGAAGGACCCCAATGTCTTGAGCCTTCCTGCCTCCGGCTTTGTCTTTGCCCTTGGGTTTATGGCAAATCCCAGTGTCTTTATCTGTGTAGTAATTCAAACTAGCCCCTACAAGCAAAATACAACACTAACAGTCACTCAATAAATGTCAGCCAGTCAACTCACTTTGCTTTCTCTACCTCTGTCTACTGGCATACTGTCTACTGTCTACAGACCCACTCTCCCAGTTACTCTACATCCTCAGAGTTATTCATAGTTTCTCCTTCCTCAGTTTCTACATCCAGCCATTCTATAAGCTATGCAGATTTTGCTTCCTAAATACTTGGTAAACTCCTCTTCTGGACTTGCTCTCCAGTAGGGCCTCATCTTTCCCCAGGACTAAAGCCACAGAATCTTATCAATTTTCTTTCTTTTTGTCATTTCGTTGTTTTTAGTTTGCCCTCCTTACGTAAGGTGCAGTGAATTACATAGAAAGTTGATAAAGTCATCTCTCCCACAGAGTGAACAACTGTCCTAGTTGTACTTGATTTCCCTTTCAGAGGGGATTTCCTCGACCATCCTTGCTACAACCAGGATAATACCAAGCAAAGGGAAATGGTTACCTATTAAAATTAAGCTGTTAAAATAATTTTTTCACTACCTACAGAATCCAGGTTTTTAGCACAGCATGGGAAACATCTCTTTACTTCCCCTCCTCTAGTTTCTTACATAATCCCTGCCTTTTTGCTTCACATGAAAACACTAGTATTAAAGCCCTGTGTGATTCTCTAAATTTATGGTGCTGTTGCATACCTCTGTGCTTCTGCATGGGGATTTTCTGCCTAGAGTAGCCTTTCTTCAACCTTTCTGAGAAGTGATTCATGCCTCTAGACATTGCTTAAGTCTTCACTTGCTCTATTACATCTTTATACTCGTTTCTTCCTTTAAAAGACTGCTCTTTTATCTACTGTCTTAATGCATACTCATTTTTTTTGGTGATTATGTTACATATGCTCTTTAACTTGTGTTCTGATAATCAATCATGAGCAGGAAGTCTGAGGTTAAATTATGTAATACACCCAAACTACTGAGAACTGCAGCTTATAAGGCAGTGCACAGGCGCGTGTTTGCTGGTCACTCTCATGATGTGCCTGACTTACTACCCCTACCCAATAGTCTAGTACTATACCACACAATGCTAGCTTGGTGAAAGTTCAATTTGTACTATATTAGTATTTTTCTTATACAATCTTAAAGTCAGTAAGTCCTAAGTCAACCTATTATAAGTTGGGGACTAGCTATAAACTCTAAGAATTTTGGTTACAGGTCTTCTAGAACATTTCTTGACATTGGTATTTCAACATTTACATGTCATAGGAGCATAATATGAGATAAGGAAATATTTGTTGAGTAGAACCAAACCAAGTTTTAATAACTTCTGGTTGACAAAGTGTGTTTCTATAATTAGTTCATTTGGTCCTCGCAATAGCCATTAGAAGTATTATCTTCATATTGACTGAGGAAATGGGCTAAAGAGGCCAGCTGAATTGCCTAAGATAATACAAGCATAGTCCAAGCTATGGCATCTGGCTTGAAGTCCCTTGTTATTAGAACTGTATGCTTATTTATCTAAATTAGGTCATAATGGTAGACAGAATAATGGCCTTTCAGAGATGCCTACTTCTTAATTACTGGAACTTCTGAGTTATATGACAACATGGGTAAAGCAAATTTGCATGTGTATTAAGAATCTCTAACTGTGGAAGTGATCAGACTGTCTGCATGGCTTGCTGAAATCAAAAGGGACCTGAGAAAAGGTAGATAAGAGGGTCAAAGTCAGAGAGGAGATGTGACGATGGGAGCTGAGATTGAGGAGGAAGGTCACAGCCAAGGAAGGGGGCTGCCTCTAAAAGCTGGAGAAGTCAAAGAAATGGGCTTTCTCTAAGGACTGCCAAAGATCACAGCCCTGATAGTACCATTCACCTTGTAAAGTGCTATAACATTTACCTAGCATGCACAGGCCCAGAGTTTGATTCATACCTTCTTCCCCTCTCCCCAATGATTCACCTTGTAAAACTCACTCCAAACATCTAACCTTCAAAACTGAAAGAGAAAAATCTCTGTTGCTTCTAAACCACTAAATTTGTGGCAATTTCTTATAGTGGGAATAGGAACTGATGTAGTTATTTTTCATTGTTTGTCTCTGTCAGTGTTTCATGCCTTTATATACTCCCAGATGGCATGGTTCTTGTCTCTTAAATTAACAGGTGCCATGTCAAGAGTCATGGCGTGACTGTTTTAATCAAGTTTAGGATAGTCTGAGAAATGCTTACTAGTGATTTTTGTAATATTGATGTAGACACTAACTCTCTATTGGTTGGTTGACATACAGTCTATCATCTATAAATATGTTTCCAGACTCAGACGCAAAGTACCTCCCAGTCTGTGAGCCTTCCTCCACTCTGAAGTACTATTTGTCGTTTTCCACTAGAGAGATTAACTCACTATGAGATAAATCATCAGTGGGAATGTAGAAAAACCATTTAGACAGATTTCTAAGGGGCTAACATATTTTTATACAGTTTAGGTCAGTAACATTAAACCTGGACACATGTGACATTTTGGATCATCTCAATTTCCACTATCTGCCTGTCAGTGTTACTTATTTTATAACTTTACATCTGTATACAAACTAATTTGCCTTATTTGGGAAGAACAATCCTACTACTTTTAAAAGTGACATTTTATGTTTTCCAATGGGAGAAGAGTCAAGAATTGAGGATATAACTCCATGCTAGAACATTTACCTAGTATGTACAAGTCCTAGTATGTACAAGAAAGAAAGAGAATTAGGAAAGTCCAGAGACCTGTGTCTGATTGGATTTTTATGAATTATGTGGGTGGCTTCCTCCCTAGCAATATATGTAGATGGAGAACGTTCATTAGGGATGGGAATGAGGGGAAATAGACAGTGAATGGATGAGTAAATATATGTTAAGACAGATGGTGATAGTTACCATGGAGTAAAATAAAACAGGATCCGGATGCTAGGAGCTAAAGAGAAGGCTATTTTACATGGAGGCAGGAACAGGAAAGTTCTAAACGAGATGATGTTTGAGCAAAGAGACCTATGTCAGTGAGGGATCAAACAGAAAAAGAAAACATCAAGTGCCCGATGGTAAGAGCTGTTTGGTGCATGTAAAGGATAACAAAGAATCATTGTAGCTGCAAGGGGGAGAAGGTGTAAGTGCTTATGAAGCAACACTTGGGTAGGAAAGTTTAGGGATATAAGTCAGTTCAAAGAGTAACTTTACTCAAGCACAAGTGGAAGCTGTTTTGCAGTGTTTCTTATACACTGGGTGGAGGTCAGGGTGGAGAATACATCTGATAAGCCTAGACTAAAATACCTCTATTTCTCCCTTTTCTGAGAGGAAACAGAATGTCAGTGAGAGCAAGAATAGAAGTCAGGTTTTAATACAGAGCCTCTAAAGACATTATTTGAAAGTAGAAATATAAATAGCACTTTAAATATATTATCCCTTTAATCTTCTGTTATTATCTCTATTTTACAGGTAAGAGAGTTAGCTTACTTCAAATCAAACAAAGACTTAACTTCTGGTAGTCTGGCCATAGAGTCTACACTATTAGTCACAAGAATTGGTTGCTAAAGAGAATTCTGAAGCCCAGGTTCTATACAACCCAGGTAAATCATGTCCTGTATGGTTCAAACTAAGTAGGACTTGCCTGCTAAACTAGATAAAGTTTGCTCTCTAAATTCTGTCACATCCTACCAATGTGCCAACTTACTCTGTGTACATAGCTGCCTTGGAGCCTGCACCACCTGGGACATGAGATTCCAAGTGCTGTGGAAAGAAACTATTTTGTCTTCTAAACAACGGTTAAGTCATGGTGAATCATGACTTAGGAAGGTGCTAACAAGGATCCAGGGCCAGCCCTATGATGTTCCAGATCCTACATCCATTGCTGGTGTTCTGTTGGTGAGTGTTGCCAAGAATGCTGAGGTTTAGCCTGAGATGACAGTACCCAATTATGTGGGACACTGTGGGAATGATGACACTCAAGAAGCCAACTCACAAGAATGCAGAAAGCATTCTAGGTGGCAAGACGTAGGAATCCAAAGCTGTAGTATGTGTCTTCCAAGCAACACTGCCAAGGAAAACAGAGTTGAGTGGAGGTCAGTGTAAATAGATCATGTTTCTTCATTCTTTGATGTCAGCCCTAAGCCTGGTGCATCAAGTTTGGACTCAGTCAGGAAATGAGTATCATTAGGATAAGTGATATGATGTAGGAATCAGAGCTCACATAAGCGCAAGAGGGACCAAGAGAATGAGGCTTGGTTGGCCTCCGAACATTTATAGAAAATAATTATTTTGGAGAAGTTCTAGAAGCCACCATATCTGGAAAAATGGCTTCACTGCTCCCAACTTCCAAATCTCATGTATTTTTTTTCTTTTTTTTTTTTTTTTTTTTTTGGTTTTTTTGAGACAGGGTTTCTCTGTGTAGCTTTGCGCCTTTCCTGGAACTCACTTGGTAGCCCAGGCTGGCCTCGAACTCACAGCGATCCGCCTGGCTCTGCCTCCCGAGTGCTGGGATTAAAGGCGTGCGCCACCACCGCCCGGCTCATGTATTTTTTTTCATTGGTAAAATATAGAGATCCAAACAGGGAACAAGATTTGAAAGGATTGAAAGGATTGGTGATGGTGTCAACTTTGTCTTACATAATGCTGCACACCTGGTGTAGAATTTCCATGAGTCCAATGAGTCCAATTCTCCTGCAATGGGAAGAGGTTACAACTCTGGCTCGGGGCTTGGCCTTGGTGTTTTGAATCCCATCGTCTCCCATATTCTCATTAAGGTTCACTTCTGACAGTTTTATTCACAGCTCCATTCTCTCCATTTGTGCAATGCCACCATCCTCTAATTCTGATAATATTCTCAGAATTTTTTTTTTGTACCTCTTCTTCCCTTTATGCATACTTTTAAAGACTGTATTGTTGTGTACCATCTAAAGTCATTTTTTCCCATTTATTTGTATAGGTTTTAGGAGAGACTCATTCAGGTCCATGGCTTTGACCTTAGCACAATTTGATTATAACTGATAACTCTCCTCCTTTCCTGAACCTTAAGCTAATATAGTGGACTATCCATATCTCTATGTAAGTATTGTATGAGGTAGGCTAAGTTGCTGTAACAAAGGACTCTAAAATTTGGTAGCATAAAGAAAAATAAGCATATTTGGCTATCAGGTTAACAACCAAGATGAATATTTAAGTGAGTGGATAGCTCTGGTATTTGGGGACCCAGACTAAGGGAGGCTTTGTTATTCTCCAGGTCATTATGATTATTACCATCCTAACCAGCAGAAGGAAGGAGAGGTGGAGAGTCAGGATTGGTGTTTTCTTAACAAGTCAGAAGCTGCACATGCTGTTCTTTGTCATAGCCCATCAGCAACATCTTAGGCATATACCCATTCCCTGCTACATGGAAGGCTGGAAAATGTAGTCACAAAGGAGTACTGGGCAGTCATGTCTTAGCTCCCATGTGGAAGAAGGAGAAGTAGATTCTAATAGACAACTAGCAGAATCTTCTACAGGTTTCAACATGTACAGAGTGGAATTCACACCCTTTCTCATGTCAGGATTATTTTCCTCCCTGTCCTTTTCTGTGTTCATTACAATTTACCCTTGTTGCACTGAACAGGAACCTGAGAACCACCCTGAAACCCACTCTCCTTGTGCTTCCCAAGCCAACATACCATAACATCCTGTCAACTTTGTGTCTTAATACTTTCTTGACCCAGGACCTCTCTCTTGCCATCCTGAGTTTCTAGAATAAGTGACCTGTACTTAATTCCAATCTTGCTATTCTCTAAATAATCCAGTGACCACCCTCCAGAATGATCTTTTCTAAAACACTAATTGGATCAAAGGGCTTTCAAGTCCTCCACTAGTTACTCAATAGTTGGGATTAAACCAAAACTTTTAAAATTGAAAATAATTTTTCATGCAATATATTTTGATTATACTTTTCCCTCCCTCATCTTCTTACAGATCCTCCCCACCCTTCCAACTCCCTGATTTCTCTGTCTCTATCTCTGTCTGTCTGTCTTTCTGTGTGTATAGATAACAAACTGATAAATAAAGAAAACAGATTAAAAAAAACAAGCAAAGAAACAACACAAGAAACACACACACAACCCATAAAAACAGAAAATTGAAAACCATAATACACAACCAAAAGACCAGTAATATTTAAAATAACCAAACAAAGCAATATGAAACAACAACAACAACAAAAAAAAACAACCTTGAAAAACATCATTGAGTTCATTTTGTGTTGGCCATCTACTGCTGGGCATGGGGCCTGCTCTTAAGTGTGGTTTGTATACCCAGTGAGACTCCACTGGAGAAAATTAATTTTTCCTTTGCAAGTGGTTGTCAGTTGGAGGTAGCTCCTTCGTTAGGAATGGGAGCTCATGTCCATTTTGCCCTCTAAGCATTGGGACCCCATCTGGCTTGGATCCACGGAGGCCATGTGCACATTGCCACAGTCTCTGTGAATTCATAAGTGCCTCAGTCCTGCTGTATCTAGAAGACACTGTTTCCTTTGGTTATCCATCCCCTCTGGATCTAACCATCTTTCTGCCTCCTTTTCTGCACAGTTTCCTGTGCCCCGAGAAAAGGGGTTTGATGAAGACATCCCATTTGGGACCGAATATTGCAAGGTCTCTCACTCTTTGCACTTTGTCTGTATTAGTTCCTACACACTGCAGGAGGAAGCCTTTCTGAAGATGGCTGAGCGAGACACTGATCTATGGATATAGCAGAATGTCCTTAGGAGTTTTTTTTATTGCTATCTTCCTTTATCAAGACAATAGTATTTGGTTTTTCCCTAGGTTCATGGTCTAGGTGGATTTCATCTCATGGAGTGGGCCTTAAATTCAATCAGATATTGGTTGACTACTCCCATAATGTTTATGCAACTGTTGCACTGGAGTATCATGCAGGCAGGCCACTGTTGTAAATTTCAGGGAAACCTAAACTTCTTAAAGCCTGGATTAGGAATCTCTTGTGAATACACGTTTAATACATATTTATTGGATGAACAAAGGATTTAGCTCTTGTCTGCTCTTTGAGTCATAACAGTGACTACACCCTTACATTTGTCAATGTCACTGGACTAACATATGCAAGTTCTTTAAGTTATTTTTATCTGCTGTATGTTTCACACTACCATGCTTTTACTGGACCTGCTAAATCTACTCTTAATGCCTTCTATCTCCTAAGACTTTTATTTAAAATATTATTGGTTCAAATATTCCTTGTCTCCTAAGAAATGTTTATGCACAGTATAATGCATATTAACTTTCCTGTAATTTTATATGTATATATATATATGTGTGTGTGTGTACATCATTTAATATATTGCTTCATATACACTTACAAATGCATGTACATAAATGTGAAATACAAACTGTGAATCTGAGAATAATTATAGATCACTAGGAGGTGGCATAGTAGGGTACCTCCTTTAGACTGATAGTTTAAGGCCAGGAAAAGCCTCTCTGAGGAAATGACTTTTAGGCAGAGACCTGGAGTTTAGTTGGGCACTTGTCTTCACTGATTCGTCTTCTGCATGCTATTTGACCTGCTGCTTTAACTCCTGCCTAGAGCTTTATGTGTGTGGTTCCCTGTGCTTCGAAAGACCTGTCCTGCTAGTTGTTGAAATCCTACCTGTTCTCTGAGAGGCAGCCCCAGCTTTGTTTCTTTTGTGAAAACACCCTGGCTCTGACAGGCAAATAACAATTTATTGCCAATTAAACACCCGCTCTTAACCACCTTGACTGTAAGCTCTTGGGCATGAGGACCTAAGTATACCTCCTATGGCTGCTGTTCTGTTCCCTTTGAGTCTGATGAACTGTTTCTCTTTTTCAGTATAACTATCCCTGTTTATCTCAAGCATTCTTTTTATGATCTGAGCTATAATCCCAATGGGTTTTTGTTGTTGTTGTTGTTGTTGTTGTTATTGTTTTATTTGAGGCCCGGTCTTGCTATGTAGTTCAGGCTGGACTCCAATTCACAACACTGCTACCTTGATCTCCCGAGTTCTGGATTTAATCATTCTTAAAATGTGTCAGCCTTAGCTCGGCTTGGTTCTAATGCTCTGGCCTGGCTGCATACTAAAAGAAATAGCACTAGCTCTCTTACTCTAAAGCTAGATTTTTGACTTCTTCTAGGCTTCTGTTGAGTTTTTCGGCAATTGTATGACAATCTGAAACCACACTGAATTGTGAATGGGAAGTACTAGTCCAATTCAACCCTGCCCTATAGTTATTGCTGGTTTGTTTGTTTGGTTTTTGACTCAAAGAACTTTACATGTGTTCCCTTTAAAAATTTTTGCTTTACTCAGTTCATCACCCAACCTGCTGAGAGGTTTTAACAGTTATTTCTATCTGAAAGTATTTGTTATCCTTCCCAGCTTTATGTCATCAACATCCAAGACATCAATAAAGTATTAACCATAATAGCTGTGGTTTTAACTCTAGCATGGCACTACATGCTTTCTTAAGAACATTGATTCATTAATCAGCACCTTTATTTAGTTCAGGCAATTATATAATTGCTATGCACTCAAGAGTTCTTACTTTTCCATGAGAATGAGTAACTTGTCATCCCTGTCAAAGTTCAATAGCATGCCTACTCAGCATAATATCATGTAGTAAATTTAAATCGGGAGTGAGAATATCTCCTAAAATTCTAATATATTTATTTTTTGTGTATGGGTGTTTTACTTGCATGTATGAGTGAGTACCTGGTTGCCTAAGGAAGCCAGAAGAAGGATCCACTGCTGGAGCTACAGATGGTTGTGAGCCAACTTACGGATGCTAGGCGTTGAGCCTGAGTCCTCTGGCAGAACAGCTCTTAACTACGGAGCAATCTCTCCAGCCCAGGAATGAGAGTACTTTTATTTAGCAAAGATAGAATGAACAATGAAGATGGCTTTTATTCAGAGTATGATCAAGGAGTTAATTACCAGAAAGCCAGGAGAGTGAAGGCAAGACTTACATTTAAAAGAAAAACTTGGAAGTATAAAGATTAGGATAGTTGATGGTATTATGAGGGGCTGTAGATATGACAACCAGAAGACATTTCAGAATGAGAATACAGAAAGTATAGGAATAAATTAAAGGAAGAGATCTGATGAGTGATGTTGCATGTCTTCCTCACTTAGGCACTGAACAAAACCGAAGGGGGTATTTTGGCTTAAGAAGTAACTTCTGAAGTCTGAAGTTTGTCCCTGAAA